AGGAATCAGCGAACTAAAATGGACTGGAATGGGTGAATTTAACTCAGATGACCATTATATCTACTACTGTGGGCAGGAATCCCTTAGAAGAAATGGAGTAGCCATCATGGTCAACAAAAGAGTCCGAAATGCAGTACTTGGATGCAATCTCAAAACCGACAGAATGATCTCTGTTCGTTTCCAAGGCAAACCATTCAACATCATGGTAATCCAAGCCTATGTCCCAACAAGTAACACTGAAGAAGCTGAAGTTAAACAGTTCTATGAAGACTTACAAGACCTTTTAGAATTAACACCCAAAAAAGATGTCCTTTTCCTTATAGGGGACTGGAATGCAAAAGTAAGTCAAGAAACACCTGGAGTAGCAGGCAAATTTGGCCTTGGAATACAAAATGAAGCTGGGCAAGTGGAATAGTAGGACATAAATAGCATATACATTGTTAATGATATGTATACAAGATATATATGTTGGATATATGTTAAAAACTTCATGAGGGCCTTTCCCTTCTAACAACTCACAGCATGGCATTGACAGAACACTCTGGTCTAACAACAGAGCAAAAAAATGGCAAAGTCAATCCAATTGAACAGAAAAGAAAAAAAGAATTATAAATATGTCTGCATTCCTAGGAAAGGGTTTCTTACTAGTATCTTTTTATCCTCTGTAGTGATACCCTTATAAGGATTCCACAAGGACCTTTGTGGTGAGGAGCCCCTGTATTCTAATAGTCAGTGGTGTATCAATTAACTGCCATCAACTAACCACCTTGCATTTGTAACAGTCTGAAAGGGAGAGTTCCTGAGTCTGAGAATCAGACATCCATACTGCCATGCTTCATACAGACAGCACCCCATACGTCTTCTAAAAGGGGCTTTTTAAAGTCTCCATTAGAGGTAGTACTACTAGCATCACATTCAGCCTTCCAAGACTCTAAGAACAGTGGCAGAAGAGAATTAAATATACATCAAGCAAGCAACTTGTTCTGTAAACATTCAGTGTGTTGTTATCCTTCAACAGAACTGTTCTTATTGAAAGTTTTATGGTGTATACGTCTTAGGATCTAGTATTTCTCATTTCAAAGAGTAATTTGGGTCTTTCAAACTATTATATAAAATCACAGTGCAGTTAACTGACTTAATACAATTTAATTGCTTAACTTTAAATTCTAAGAGAAGAGCCTCTTTGAAGAAAATCTCTGTTTAGATGGCATAAAAGAAGAGGCCTAGTTGGTAGTAACTGTGTTATTACATACACTGCATCAGTCAAAAGTCAACTTTAGGAATACTAACTATTGCTGCTTTGGCTAAAATTTGAGTCTTTCATTTGAGTAAAATTTTGTGTGACATTTCATAAGGCTTAAGTGCAAACAAAATTGATTGATCACATTCACAAATATACAAACTTACCCTCAAACCATGATATTAAAAAAGTATATTACATTTGAGACAAAAATGGCAAAACCAGAATTTTTAATTGCCAAGAATTTTATGTAGCAAGTTTGTTCAGTAACATAATAAAAGAGGAATATTACATTGGCAGAAGTGGAATTAAAGAACACAAATATTACTCTAAAAACCAGTATTCTTGCCTGGAGAATTCCATGGACAGAGGAGCCTGGTGGGCTGCAGTCCATGGGGTCACAAGGGTTGGACACAGCTGAGTGACTAACACTTTTCACTTTCATTTTCTCAAATTTGAGAGGACACTTAATAAAATTCCCACTTAGATGGTAAAATATATTAATTCTAATATTATGTAAGTAAAGTAAATCTGATTCATTTACTGGGTAAGCACTACATTCTAAACTACCCAACTCAAATGAAACTAAACTCTGGCAAACAATTTATTTTCTCCTTATGCAATTAATGTTACCTTCAATAAGGCAATTCCCACATAGCCTTTGGCCACAGTTGTTGTCTTTAAAACAAAGTTCTAAATCTGTAGATCTCACAAAAGGATACGATTTTCTTAGCAGATGGTTACGGAAATCAACAATAGGGATGCATGCTCAAGAGAATATGAGTTTTTAAGGAGTCTTATCTAATTAACAGAGCTCTCCCTTCCAATCCCCCCACATTCAGTGATCCAAGAAACTGAAATACAAATGGAAAAGATGAATCTGTGAAGTTAAAGGTATAAAATTATGCAACATTCCTCAGGCTCTTCATTATTTCCAGAATGGGAAGAAATTAGAGTTAACAGAATACAACCTTATTTCTTTAGAGGGAGGTAGATTAAAAAGTGTTTATACTTAAAAAATTTTTAGAGTGTTGATTAATGCTCCTCAGTAAACAAGGGAGGTCATTTCATTTATTTGGATATGCAAACTAACCTGGAAAATCAATAAAAATACCTTTATCACCAGTAAGCCAATCGGTATAGCAAAACATTGTATGAAAAGGAATATTGATAAATACATGTGAATAGAAGCCTTTCAATAAAGAAAAATCTATCATTTTTATAAAAAAGCTATCTATTTTAAACATCATCCTTACTCAATCACAAGTAAAATACTATCAATACATGACTTTGAAATTTCAAATAAAAGCCATCACAGTTTCCTTATGAGGAATATTTGTTTTCAGTCTTCCTTTTTATCTGAGGTACTTTCTTCATGACTTTCAGGGCTGACTTTATTACTTGCAACTGAGGGAGTTGCTTGGATTTCTTCTGGTAATGAAAACACATGGCACGTCTGGAGATCTAAGTACGTTGTAAATATCTTAGCATATTCTGGATGCTTTAGGGCAAAACTTTTAAATTCCTCTAAAAGAGTAGAAAAAAACAAAATTCAGTAAATTGAGATGAATCTTCTTTCAGCATGATGCAGATTAACATATGATCTTAATAATATAACCATTGCAAAAGTCTATTACTCAACTCTTATAAATTATACAACCGCTTTGGCAGATAGTTTTTTCCATTATCTAATCAAGTTGAAGATATGCATACTTGATTCTTGGGTAGATAAGCTAGAGGATTTGTGCATATTGTATTCTGGGAGACAAGCATGAATATGTTCACAGCAATGTTATTCATAATAGGTAAAAAATGGAAACAATTCAAATGTTTGTTAACAGCTGAAATGGAGAAATAAATCCTGGCATATTCAGAGAACATAATTCTGTACAGCAATGAAGATGAATGAATAGCTGTGTTGTAACAATGTGGATAAATCTTAACACCATAATGTCCAATGAAAAAAGCCAAATACACAAGAACACATGTGGTATGAGGCTACTATGCAAAGTTCAAAAACTTCGGCGAAATTAAAATAGATTTAAAATTTGTACTTTTGTGGTGAAATGCTAAAGCAAAGCAGGCTGAGATACCTTTTTAAAGTCAGGTCAGCAGTTCCCTCCTTTAAGACAGAGGAAGGGGCTGTATTTTTGGAAGGGGCACATGGAGGCTTCTAGAGTTACTGAAAAATTCTATTTCTTGATCTGAGTGGTAGTACACAAGTGTTCATTTATAAACCTTCATTATGCTCCATGTTTATGTTTTATTGTTATATATAATTTTATTATTTCTCTGTAATAAAAAATGTTCAAAAATTTGTTCTCCAGGACTTTCTACTGTGCTGTGCTGTGCTTAGTCACTCAGTCATGTCCAATTCTTTGCTACCCCATGGACCAGAGCCCACCAGACTTCTCTGTCCATGGGAATTCTCCAGGCAAGAATACTAGAGTGGGTTGCCATGCCCTCCTCCAGGGGATCTTCCCAACCCAGGGATCAAACCCAGGTCTCCTGCATTGCAGACAGGTTCTTTACCAGCTAAGCCACCAGGGAAGCCCAGGACTTTCTGTTACTGACTTTTAAAATGATTTTAACCTTTAAAACTGGTAAAGAACCATGTTGAAAAGCTGAGCCCTGCCTGACTTATGATCAGTAAGAACAAGTAGAATGTACAATATATAATAATTGTATCACAAGACCCCTGAGTCATGGGCCTCCTTTTATCTCAGGTGTTTTGATTTGTGACTTGATAAGGTAGAGTATAGAAATTAACTTACTAAATTAACCATCAGAATTTGAATCTTAAGCCCCGAATAGTTGCTGAAATATGATGCTACCCTCAACTTTGAAATTTCTCTCTCTTTTTCTGTTAGGATGGAGAAAGCTTTATTGAACTTATATAGCAAAGGGAGCCTGGTCTTTGAATAAACTTGCTATTGACTCTCTAATAAAAGGCTTTTAACCCAATATCCTATTTCTATCCATTAAAAAAAAAATCCTCCAATAACCAAGTGTCTACTTCATGGCACATTAGAGTACCTAGCAATTCCTAATGATATAAACAGGTCTTAGTGATGAGGAAGTCACCAGATTGAGCCCAGACCATTCTCTGTAATTACAACATTATTTTGTATTAATAGACTTTATATTTCCAAATCAGGTAAGCTATTAATTATTCTTTCTTGACACCCAAAATAAAGATTTATCTGCATGAGTCTATTTCAGTGATGGAGGTAAAGTGGACGTTAAGTGATTTCTAAGATACATAGGCAGGAGAGTTGATCTATGGAAACCATGAGCTTTAATTTTAAGACTTGTGCTCTGGTCAAAAGATGAAGGTCTCTGTCTCCTTTGGGGATGCCAGTGGCATTAAAGAGTAACTCATTTCTAGAAGTGCTATGAACTGGTGATAAGTAGAATTTGGGCATTAATTTTGCTAAAGGAAAACCAAGAATGAAAACTTACATGATCATATTTAAACAATGTAAATGGTCACATTCATGATAAATTTTTATACCTATTCTTTCATAAAATCATATTTAAATACCTCAAACATTCCTGCAAAAAAAAAGTGGGCTTGCATAATATTGGGGAAGAGGAGATATTCTTTATATTCTAAAAAGAAAAATGTTGAACTCCAAAAAACAAAGTAGATATCTATAAAAAAAAAATTAAAATCAACAGGTAAACATATGACTACCTACAAGTAATTCTCAGTACTAGCTCCCATTGAAATAATAATTCAAAATAGTTTTTCAAAATGTGGTAGCTTTGAGACTTCTTTGTGGCCCAGTGGTTAAGACTTCGTCTTCCAATGCAGGGCGTGTGGGTTTGATCCCTGAGAGGAGAGCTAAGATCCCCCATGCCTTGAGGCCAAAAAAGTCAAAGCATAAAACAAGTAATATTTTAACAAATTAAATAAAGACTTTGAAAATGGTCAACATCAAAAAAAAATCTTAAAAAGAATACTAAAAAAAAAATGGTAGCTTGGAGTAATACAGTCTTAATTATGCAATGAAAATGGCCAGAAAATTAGTACACATGAGGTTTATGACTCTTAAGTTTTACATCAGTATATATTTATCCTTTATCAGTATATACTTATACTTTATCCTTTCTTTTTTTTTAAATGAACTTAATAGAGTAAGTGCCCTAGGCACCTAATTATCTAAAATAGAAGAAAAAATAGCCAAATGACAGTAATTAAAAACAGAGAGTAAGCGTAGTATGTGATCTAAAGCCCCCATCCAATGAAAGTTATCAGGCTGAAACTCTTTGAGCACCAGAAGGAAAAAGGCATTCAAGAGGAATCCTCCTCCAGCCCACCAGAGAAGACTGGGGAAGATAAGCCATGTTTATGACCACATCAAAGCTCTGCCAAGTTGTGTTACCCAAGAACATTATGAAATACATGGAAACTGATGAACCATCCCTTCACTCCTTACAGGACTTATTTTTAAATTTTTGTTTTTATTTAATTTTATTTGTTTTTATTTTTTGGCCACATCATGCGGCATGAGGGATCTCAGTTCCCCAATCAGGGATCGAACCTGTCTCGGAAGTGCAGAGTCTTAACTACTGGACTGCCAGGAGTCCCAAGGGCACTTATTTTAATGCATGGACTTGAGCCATTAGGAGAAAGGCTGGTGTACAGACCTGCCATCTGGCCTCAAGGTCTTCCTCCATGATAGTCCCTCCCTCACAGGGGTGCCATCAATGTGACATGATATAATGAACATGACAGCTCACCTAAGCTACTAACAGGAAACATCAATAGATGGTTTAGTTACTCTTATTACTGTAGGTCCCTCTACTGTGGCTACAACTCTGACATTTTCTGGCTAATGATCGTAGGTAAGTCACTTAAATTCTCTGCATCTTGATAACATAAGAATAATGAAGAGTACTGATTGAATAGGCCTGCTGTAAAGAATAAATGAATTAATATATATAAAATGTTTGAAGAGTGCTTAGCCTATGGTAATGTCCCAATAATTAGCTTCTACCATTACACCTCTACTACTATTATTGCTATCATCATCCTTGTTACTATTATTTCTATCATTAACATATTAGAGGAGGGAAACAACACTTGTATGAGGGTCAGTCATAGTCTGGATGCCCTCCTCGTACACTAAATCAGGAGCCAAACTGCCTACTCACCATAGGAAACAGAATCCCCCTGGGCTATTTCCTTGAAGAGACCAGAAACATCAAGGTCAGGCACTCCAAGGGAAGCCTGCAGGATGGTGGAGAACTCTTCCTCTGTTATGAAGCCATCCTCATCAACATCAAAGAGCTGAAGGAAAAAGAAAATAAAGCCTAAGAATGAGCTCCTCCAGAGCAATGGCGTATGGAATAATCTTGGAAAATAAATTCTTTAGTAATTCAGACATTCACTGTGCCAGGGGCTCAGGATATTTGTCCATATGTATGATCTCTGCTGCCTTCACAATACTTACTAGTTTAGTGGTAGAAAGAGATAAAATTAAAATAGGGGCTACAACCATAGTAAGCACAGAAGCACATGGGGGTCCTCTGTAGAACAAGATGAATCCTACCTGAAGAGGTCAGGGAAGGCTTTATGACATTTGAGTTGGGTCTTAAAACATGAAGAAAATATACAAGGAATGCACAAGGACTATACAAGGAATATGCAAGCTTGGGGCTCAAGTCAGGAGAGAGAAAGACAACCAAGAATCAGACCATAGTGCATCATCTAACCCTGCAGGATGATGATGGGAAGGACCGTGGCGTGATTGACTGTGAACTGAGGGAGCTCTCTAAGGAAGAGGGTGGAGGATGGACTGGAGGCAGAAGGTTGAAAAGACTTCTGTTGTTGATCAATTGCTAAGTCATATCCAACTCTTTGCAACCCCATGGACTGCAGTGCTCCAGGCTTGCCTGTCCTTCAGTATTTCCTGGCGTTTGCTCAAACTAATATCCATTGAATCTATGAGACAAGAAAAACAAGAGTCTGGGGTGGAGAAGCATGAAGGGCAGGAAGAGAGAATTTATAAGGAAACAAAGGTGGGACTTGCATTTCACTTAGAGGTCTGCAGTGATAGAAAATAGCGAGCCAGTGATGGCTGAGGTGTTCTGACTTGAGCACGGGGTGAAAACATTATGTTATCCACAGTGGGGGAACAGGTACCCAATGAGATCAAGGGTTAGACCTGGAGAGGTAAATCTTAATCAGAAGTATCAGTTAGAAGTAAAGTCTAGCACATCAGCACAGGAGAATGAAGAGCCTTAAGATATGAATTCAGGTAAGAACTGAAACTCTAAATGTGTTTGAGCTTCTGTGTGGAAAATGCACAAAGTAAGGCAGAGTCCTGGAAACTGTAAGAGGTGAGGTGTGTGCAGGGAAGAGGAACCAGCAAAAACAACAACAATAACAAAAGCAGTCAGACAGATGGAGAAGCAGAAAGAAAGAGCATGCATCTTGGAAGCTAGGGGAGGTTTTTAGGAAAGAGGAAGAAACTCTTACTGTGGTAATGGCCAACACAGTAAAATGCCATAGGAAGGCCAAGCAAGGAGCAAAGAGGTTTGCTGGATTTGGCAATTAGGAGATCCTGATGACAGATGGTAATAGGAGTCAAGGAATGAATAGATATGAGGTATGGAGGCAAAGGCACGGGCTCTTCTTTTAAGAAATTATGGAGGGCTTCCCTGGTGGTCCAGCGGTTAAAAATCTACCTTGCAATGCCTGGGATACCAGTGAGTAACATAACTCACTTTTACCCATTTGCTCAAGCCAGAACACCTCGGCCACCACTGGCTCCGTCTTTTCCAGCACTACAGACCTCTAACTGATATGCAAGTTCTGTTTTTGCTTCCTTATAAATTCTCATTTCCTGCCCTTCCTGCTTCTCCACCCCAGACTCTTGTTTTTCCTGTTTGATCCCTGGTCTGGGAAGATCCCACATGCCACAACTACTGAAGCCTGCTCACACTACAGTCTGTGCACCACAATAAGAGAAGCTACCACAACGAGAAGCCCACACGATGCAACTAGAGCAGCTCCTGTTCTCTGCAACCAGAGAAAAGCCTGCTCAGTGACAAAGACCCAGCACAGCCAAAAATAAATACTTTAAAAAGAAATTATGGAATAAAGGGCAGGAGAGAAAGGGGGTAACAAGCATGCACAAAAGGAGGCTGCCTACAGGAAGGGAGAGACTGAATATGTTTATAGGCAGAGGGGAAAGGGTGGGATACACTGAGAGTCAAGTTGCAAATCGGGGATAGTTGATATGTCATATTCAAAATCTTCTCCCGGGTATTCACATTTTAAAAATGATATCAACACTGACTGTTTGCAGGCACCGATCCAACATGTTCAGATACCTTCACACACTCATTTAACCCTGATGACAGTCTACTTTAATGAGTCTTAAGTAAGGGAGGGGCTGTTATTAGTCATATCTCACAGATGAGAAAGCTGAGGAACACGGAAGCCAGGCAACTTTCCCAAGGTCACAGAGCTTGTCAGTGGTCAAGCTGGCACCCAAATGCAGGCAGATAATATCTACAGCTCCTGCTGTTAAGGTATCTACTTCTGACCAAACACACAGTCAAAAACAGGCATAGGGTAAGGTGTGATAATCATGAAAATAACAACAAGCAAACACTGAATATTGCATTAATTGTCCATTAGGGTGGGAGGAGAAAAACAGAACTTGAAGTTGTAATTTGCTGCCCCTTGATGAGAAGGCACAGACTCCTAGTCCATTTTCTACACTCAGTCCCTGAATGGAGGATAAGACAGTTGTAAAGTACAGAGTGCATTAGCATTTGTTTTCACAAATGGTAGCCCCAGGGCTCTTTATGGGCCTTGGACTTCAGACATGAACAGCCAGGTTGTCACACACCCCACTGCCATAAATTCTAAGTTTTCTGTAAAAGTCTTCCATTCCTAAACAATTCTCAAAGCATGCACAAAAGGAGGCTGCCTACAGGAAGGGAGAGACTGAATATGTTTATAGGCAGAGGGGAAAGGGTGGGATACACTGAGAGTCAAGTTGCAAATCGGGGATAGTTGATATGTCATATTCAAAATCTTCTCCCGGGTATTCACATTTTAAAAATGATATCAACACTGACTGTTTGCAGGCACCGATCCAACATGTTCAGATACCTTCACACACTCATTTAACCCTGATGACAGTCTACTTTAATGAGTCTTAAGTAAGGGAGGGGCTGTTATTAGTCATATCTCACAGATGAGAAAGCTGAGGAACACGGAAGCCAGGCAACTTTCCCAAGGTCACAGAGCTTGTCAGTGGTCAAGCTGGCACCCAAATGCAGGCAGATAATATCTACAGCTCCTGCTGTTAAGGTATCTACTTCTGACCAAACACACAGTCAAAAACAGGCATAGGGTAAGGTGTGATAATCATGAAAATAACAACAAGCAAACACTGAATATTGCATTAATTGTCCATTAGGGTGGGAGGAGAAAAACAGAACTTGAAGTTGTAATTTGCTGCCCCTTGATGAGAAGGCACAGACTCCTAGTCCATTTTCTACACTCAGTCCCTGAATGGAGGATAAGACAGTTGTAAAGTACAGAGTGCATTAGCATTTGTTTTCACAAATGGTAGCCCCAGGGCTCTTTATGGGCCTTGGACTTCAGACATGAACAGCCAGGTTGTCACACACCCCATTGCCATAAATTCTAAGTTTTCTGTAAAAGTCTTCCATTCCTAAACAATTCTCACCAACTCATCAAATCGTCTAAATTCCTGCCACATTTGGTGCTTTGACAGCTCTCTCCTCTGTATAAGTTCCCTTCACACGTACATCCTGGGACCTTTACTTCCTGTCACAGTCGTTGTGACAAAGGACGTTTTGCCACAACAACCCCATAATACCCCTCCATTTCTCTGAATTCCTCACGTTCCCAATAGTCTCCTTGCTACACAGTTCCCAGATCTCAGGTAAATCCCATCCTCTGGGCCCTGGTAGAAGGTTCAACACACCAGTTTCCTTGGAGAATGGGAGAGTGCTATCTCCCCAGGGCACAGAAAGCTGCAGGACTCTGTATCCATTCAGCCAGTCCATGTCTTTTGGTTGGAGCATTTAATGCATTTACATTTAAAGTAATTATTGATATATATGTTTTTATTGGTATTTTCTTAATTGTTTTGATTTTGTTTTTGTAGGTCTTTTCCTTCTCTTGTGTTTCCTTCCTATAGAAGTCCCTATAGCATTTGTTTGTAAAGCTTATTTGGTGGTGCTGAATTTTCTTAACTTTTGCTTCCCTGTAAAGCTTTTGACCTCTCCATCAATTGTTAAATGAGATCCTTGCTGGGTAGAGTAAACTTGGCTCTGAATCAAAACATCCTGTCTTTCCTAGCAAGCTGGAGGTTCAAGACCACCAGGATCCTGCCTGGAATCTGAATGATGAACAGTTTGGAGTTTGTCTCTCTGACAGCAGTGCCCAAGGGAGACGTAGAGCAGTTCCCCCAGCTGGGACCTCTGGAGCTGCCTGCTTCAGGGTCTTCCCAGGAGCCTGCTTGTTGTCCTCACAACTGATTCCTCAGCCAGTCTACTGCTAATGACTAAAGAATGCTGACTAATATTCTACCTCTAAAGGTCACCATGGTGGTGAAACATGATCAAAGATGGGCAGTTAACTGTGAAGCGTTACTCAAATAAAAGGATGAGAATGGATCCTGTATATATAAAATGATACTACTAAAGAAAAAACATAGAAGCATGCCAAAATCATTTTCAAAAACATCAAACACCCTTGAGAAGGTTAAAAAAATAACCAAAGTAAAGCGTGACACTTGCCTTACTGAAAAAAAGAGCTAATTATAGTTTTAGGTTCTCCTTTCCTTTCCCTACCTCTCTCCCCAAAAACCAAGGTCTAGGCTAGAGGAAAAATCTCAGGACTTCTTTAAAAACAATAATTACTATGATTAAGGGCCAAATTTTCTATCAGGTCTTTCATTGGTAAGCCCAAAGTGACCACTTGCACAGCTGAACTTATAATCATACAGACAATCCCAGAACAGGAACAGAAATAACTGGATCGGAATAAGTTAGCTATGTGCATAATTTTAGGTTTTACGATGAATAAGTCTGTAAAAGCCAAAAGTTTTCAACTTGGAAAGCGTTCTGGCCCTTTCCTTGTGACCATCTGCTAAGCATCAACCTCTTAGGTTCTTTATAGACCCAGCAGTTAACTCAATTGAAAACAATCTGAAATAAAAAGTCAACTTGGGGGCTCTCTGTCAATGACAAAACACATGGAAGGTCTTGAGGCTATCCAGGACGGTCTCTAAGACACGAGAAAGGGCTCTGGGAGGAAGAGGGTCTTTCTGGGATGAGAGAGGGGAAGACACTTGTTGAGGACACAGTGGGATATTCTTCTCTGAGAAAATCAGGAAGAAATGAGTAGGAAACAGACACGGGGAAGGTCTTCAGGCATATGGTGGATGAAGCAGAGACTCAAGGGGCTGAATGATAACAGAGTCCACATACATGACTTAAAAGACACATAGTGAGATCAAGCTTTTATTTTACTTGAGAACAGAGCATGTGTGATTAGAATTTGGAAGGGAATATCCCATTCAAATACAAATTAGATGAAGCAACTTTCATCTCCAAAGAATTGGAACACACTTTGGGAATGTATTCTTCACCTCTTTTTGTACATATAAGTGATAAACGAAATCAGAGTTCTCATCATTTAAACCTCCATTAAGTTCTGCTGGGGATGGGGGACATGGATGTTATTCATTGCCCCCTAATCCCCCATCCTGCTATGACAATATATATGATACAACAGGAAAACATACAGGGTGGAAATCTGAGACATCATGGTAAAGATGAAAGGTGCTTCATCTAATTTGTATTTGAATGGGATGTTCCTTTCTGAATTCTAATCACACGTGCTCTGTTCTCAAGTAAAATCAAAACTTGATCTCACCTTGTGTCTATGTATGTGGACTCTTATCACTTGATGCCACCACAACAAAATAAACTTCATCAGGAAAAGATTGCCAAAAACATCTCTGACACATACAGTGAGAAAATAAGGATGGATCAAAACTTTCTTCATGGCAAATTAGGATGACAAGAGACAGGTCATGTTTATTTATAAACCTCACTTTGGGGCTCCCAAATGGGGAGGCTGAAAAGAAATAATCTTTAAGCTAATTTATTAAATCACCTGCTCTTCAATCTTGATGCTGTTAACTGGGCTGCTTCCAAGACTTTTTTTGCTTAAACGGATGCTTGTGTTTTCTTTATTCTCAGTAGCGATTGTCTTAATCACATTATTCTCGTGTTCATGTCACAGCAAATCTATAAACACTTGTAATGGATGTACTGATTTTCAAATAATACACTTAGAGTCAACACTTGTTTACGAGACAGACCAAGATGCTTTCAGTGGGGCTGACAGTACCTTAAATGCCACCTGGATGATCTCCTCTGTGTTGGCGGGGTTGCACAAGACAGCCAGGCCAATTACATACTCTCGGAAGTCAATACTGCCATCGTGGTTCTGTGAAAGGATGGGAGAAATCAATTAGCAGGGCCACTGGTTGAATGACTATTAATCACAAAGTGAAATTCAGGCATGTCATGCCACTCAGCATCATCATGCACTGAGTCCATTTGGAAAAAAAGCTCGCACTGAGATAGAACAGCTAGTAAACAGCCCAATTCAGAAGGAAGAAAAATAGATCTGTGCTCAGTGATAAATATAAACATTTTATCACTGAGGCTCATTAAGAGTGATTCTATGGATATCAGCATGGGGTTTTGAGCTCAGCCTTGATAGGAGACTCTCTGGGAAGCAGGATGGAGGATTCATTCCTAGGTGAGACCAAAGCCTTCATCCCACCATTGATGGTGGGCATGCCATGATGACCAACACTCATTGGGTCATGAAGAGACCCTCTACAGGTAGGAAACAGAAGGGAAAGGAAAAGGGCAAACTGAAGCAATAATCACAGCTACATTCTTTCTTCTTTCCAGGCTTAATCTGCAATAAAGCAGGAGCAAGTAAGCAAACATGAGCAATGACAAGGGCCTCTTAGTGATATCAGGTGCTGGAAGATCCTGCACTTCTAAGCCTCTGGAAACTAAAACTAATTCATATGATGTTAATATCTATACACTTCAGCAGGCATTTCATGATGGCAATACAAAAGGATGGGTTGATAGTTCTAATCCATGCTGACTGAATGCAGAGTTTTTCCTGCACATGAACTACTCACCTAGACAAAAACACTGAGGGGATGAAATGTGGAGAAAGGGGACAGTTTAAGCAAGAGAGGGAGAAAAGAAGAGAGAGGCAAGGAAGAGAGGGAGGGAGGACAGAAGGAAGACATAAAAGAGGCAGAACTAACAAGAAGGAAAGGGGAAGAGGAGAAAGGAAAAGTGATATGGAGAGTGGGAGAGAAAGATGGAGGAGGAAAGAGGAGTAGGAGGGAGAAAGAAACAGAATAACAAGCACAATAATTATAATCCCAGGTGTGAGATCATTTTGGCAGCAAAATCTTCAAGTGGTGAGTTTCCAGATAAGCTATGAACTAGTAACAACAAAGTTAGTATGCTACTTGATAAGTAAGCAGACGTTTCATACTGATAAGGACCATAATCTTTAACTGTGACTAAGTGTCCACATTTCAACTATTAGAAGTTCCCCCAGGGCAAGGGTTGCCTTCCTTCTGTGCAGTGTGTTCTCACTGCCTAGCACACACAAGTGAAGTGAAGTTGCTCAGTCGTGTACGACTCTGCAACCCCCTGGACTGTAGCCTACCAGGCACCTCCGTCCGTCCATGGGATTTCCCAGGCAAGAGTACTAAAGTGGGTTGCCATTTCCTTCTCAGGTAGGTGATAAAAACCANATGGGATTTCCCAGGCAAGAGTACTAAAGTGGGTTGCCATTTCCTTCTCAGGTAGGTGATAAAAACCATGCTACCTTTTCCTCATCTACCCTTACCTACTACTTTGGGTTCACCTTAACACATTCAGGCAGTGTTCTTCACTTGGGTTTCACAGATGAGCTTGAAAGGGAAGGCCTTGAAGCCCCTGAAAGGGTGTGCCTTTTCTATACATACATTATTTTAGGGAAAAATTTTTGTAGCTTCTACGAGTTTTGGTTTTAGCTGTGTCATGGTGGCATGGGGGACCCAGTTCCCTGACCAGGGATTGAACTCAAGCTCCCTGCTGTGGAAGCGTGGTGTCTTACCCACTGGACCACCAGGGAAGTCCCCCATCAGCTTCTTAAAGCAACCAAGTCTGTCACCATATTACCTTTATTTTGCTGCAGGGTAGGGACGAAAAAAAGTAATTTACTTTCACTAACCAGCCCACTGGATAAGGTAGAAACAGAGGTTTCAAGAGTTCCCTAAAGCAATAGGGTTTCTTCCTGAGATTAATAACTCAGATCTGACTTCCATTTTTGTCTGATTTATTGTTGTTTAGTTGCTAAGTCATGTCTGACTCTTTTATGACCCCATGAACTGCAGCCTGCCAGGCTCCTCTGCCCATGGGGTTTTCCAGGCAAGAATACTGGAGTGGGAACTCTAGTATTTCCTTCTCTGGGGATCTTTCCAACTCAGGCACTGAACCCATGACACCTGTATTGGCAGGAGGGTTTTTTTTTTTACCACTGATGCACCTAGGAAGCCGTTTTGTCTGATTACCAGCCTCTAAAAGAGCTATTTTTTTCCTTTAATAAACTTCTTTGAGGTATCATTTACAATCAATAAAAAGCATCAGTTTTCAGGGTATAGTTTGAGGTTCTCTGAAAAAATGTAGACACCAGGGTAACCACTACCACAAGTGACAGTGATATTTTCATCACCCCAGAAATTTCAGAGATGGTAGACTTTTAAGGGACATAAATTTTCCTTGTTGTGACTCTATTTAATTTTCTATGTACTATGGAGGGCTGTTGTTCATTAGGCCTTAGAGGTTGAACAATCTGCAAAGTTTTATCCACTGCTTTCGACTCTGTATTGACTTCTGAGAAACCTTGAATTCTGCAAGGGGGAAGTAAGCTTCATGTGCAAATTCAGCTGTTTTCTCAATAGTTTCCGTTTCCAGTCTGCAGTGTTGAACTGTTACGGAAATATGAGCAATCTTTTGCTCTCGATTTTCTGAAGAAAATGCAGTGTATAAAATACTAGTCATTTTTTAAAAAAAAAAAAAAAATCAATTGAACTTCTCAGGAAAAGTACTATTATTCAAATTCAATAAACTCCCAGTTATACAGGAGAGTCCAGGAAGAGGTACTGTTTCCCTCAGTATTCTTATTAGGAGCATATTTCTACCCATCTGCATAATTATATTATCAATTGCTAGGAATTAAACTGTTTTAATCCACTTAGCATTAAAAATAGACATTTAAAAAAAGTAATTCTGAAAGCACTGCAGGATCAATAGGTGTATTTAATATCAGTGCCCTGCAGGTGCTTGAGCAAATATTTTTTAAGGGCCTACTGTGGGTGAGTTATGTAATATTACTGATGAAATTTCTGACTGAAGTTGATATATAAATCAACTTTTAAAAACACACGCACTATTACTCAAAAAATATTTTTAAAGTGAACCTTGAGATGATATATAAATTTTGAATGTTTTTGGACATTTGCTGTTTTTAGGTACAGAACACACAGTTCTTTTATCTGCTGTTACAGGTTATCGAATTCAGTGGATTGTATCAAGACTAAGGTGTATTCCAAAATCATGAGATACTTTGAAATTTAAAAGTGTAAACATATAATGTCACATTTAAACAAAATCATTATTATTTTCTACTTACTACATTGATCGCATTGCTCTTAAAAATTTAAAAATGATAGAGTTATATGAATCAAAGTCCTTCATCTTAGGCTATCAATAGTCTTCCATGTAGGAAAGGCAAATTTTAAAAAAGTATTAGGTAAACTCTCCCTTTTATATTCAAAATCTGCCTTTAAAACATCAACTGAAAAAAAAAACCAAAACATTGAACGGAAACTAAGAAATCCAATCACTTCTTAAGCTATTGGTTTGACACAATGCCAAAGGTTGGGTTACTTGGAAAAATCCAGACTTTGGACTAAATTTTCTGGGGTCAACTCTAGTGCCTTGGGTTGTCTATACAAGTTTTATACAAATTCATAAGAGAATAAAAGAGAAACTTAGTAATTTCAGAATGTTTTCCCCTGGCATGCAGGAAGAGAATCATAAAAGTAGTAATCCTTTAACATGAAGAGGAAGAGAAATACTCAGTACCACTCCTAGTGTGAGATAATTGTCTTAACTTTCATAAAACATTTAGAATGAAGCGAGGGGAGAAAAGTGGGCCTGCATTTTCTTTTCCCCAACCATCACGTGGAAAGGTTAAATTATAAACTTAATATTCTTAGACCTTAAAAGGCATCTTGGCAGCTCTCCCCTTTCCTGCCTACATTACTACATCTATGCCTAACATATTAGTGGCTTTATTCTAAAATAGGGATCCTGATATTAATGTGTGGTTGCTGGCAGCAGCCTCACTCTTATATAACCACACCTGCTTTAAGTAGCTCCCCAGACCAAGCTTAAATTACAACTCTCTTGAGGAAAGTGGATGAGATCTCTGTGCTTGGCTCAACTCAGAATCACATATATGTGGTATTTAATAAATATTATATGATGGTGATGATTTTGTACATAGAGGCCAAATGCCAAACTCTTTCAATTTCACTGGGGATTTCTAACAGGCAGCTGAGTCTGTTAATAGGCCACTTAAATCATTTTAAGAGTTACAACTTTCCTCTAAATGAGTCAGAAAGGATTTATCTTCGAATTTAGGATGATCTTCCAAAGTAGACTAGGAGAGAGGCAATGAATTAAAAACCAGCGAAACAGGAGCAGTAGAAACCAATTATAAGCAGGCAGATGAACGGAGCACTTGCAAATGAGCCCTCTCTAGCTGAGTCCACAGGCCAGGGAATTCCAGATTCTGGTTTGCCCTGCTATCAACACCTGAATCAAACTGAAGAAAGCCAGGGACTTCCCTAGTGGTCCAGATGTTTAGGCTCCATGCTCCCAATGCAGGGTGCTCGGGTTCCATCCCTGCTCAGAGAACTAGACACATGCTTCAGCTAAAGATCCCGCATGCTGCAATGAAGATCCTGTGTGCCACAACTAAGCCCCGGCATAGCCAAATAAATATTGAAAAAAGAAAAAGCCAAACCAATGGCGTTCAGGAAGGCACAACTACCTCTGCTTTTTGGGTGGCAGTTTCTCCATACTCCTATCTTCATTCTTTTGGACACTGGTAACACTGACTGCTGCAGGGCCACAGTTTTCAGCTGAGACTGATATGAAAAATACAGTAAAACAGCCTACACTTAAGGCATTGTCAGACAACCTTGGTTGCTCATCAGAATCACTTAAAGCTGGGGAGCTTTAAAAATACTCATCTTTGAGCCCCACCTCCAAAGATTTTTCTTTAACTTGTGTGGAGTGGGACTCAGCTATCACTATTCCTGAAGAGCTCTCCCAGTGATTCTAAGTTGC